TCGAGCGTCGAATAAATTAACTAGGAGGCTGTATTATCTAGTAGAACTACTCCGGGTGTTATCTTTAGGTCTCCTTTAGAACCTCCTTCGATAGGTAAGTCTCCGGTTCCTAGCTATTCTCTAACTCGTCGTATCCTAACTATTTAATTAGGTACTGAGGGTTACCGTACCTAACGCGTCTCTAAAGTACCTTCTCTACGTCGTATTCCTCTAGTGCGACTTCGTCTAGCGGTAGTAATTAGATTAGTTTAGCGTTCTTTAGTGCTAGTTTAAGTAATAAGATATAGAATACATTATGAATCCTTATATCTTTTAGGAGTTCTAACCGATAGTTAACTTTCCCTAGCTTCTTCTTAATTCTAAAGGGTCCTAGCTTAACGTAATCTAGTTTTATACTTAGCCGCTTTATTTTAATATTTTTTTTATAAAAGATAGACGGAGTCCCCCTCCGCTAGGGGCGGTCCCTCGACCCTTTTCTTATTTACGTATTTTACCATTCTCTCTATAATAAATCCGAGGTTTTCTCGTAACTTTTAGTGTATCTCTTTAATTATCGCTACTTTCTTAAGAGCTCCCGGGTTCGTACTCTCTATAATCGTATCTTCTAGCCTAGGGTAGAAACCGTAGTTAGCGTAGAATGAGCTTATTCCTATTACTAACTTATAATTATTAAAGTAGAACTATACGACTAGTAGTATCGCGACTTAATTAGTCTATCCGTAATCTATATATATCCGTAAATATTATTCTAAGGTTTAGTTTATTCTCTTAGTCTAATCATCTATCTATAGGTAGAACGATGTAGATAGCTTATACTTCGTCATTAATAACCTTATTAGTTCTTTCTAGAACTTAGACGTAAAGAGCTTATCTCTATCCGTAATAATTTCTTTTAGTATACCGTAATTTATAAATACGGTTTTCAAGAATTTATAGGCGAAGTCTTCCGCTATTAAACTTTTAAGGTAAGGCCTAAAGTACGAGAACTTCGTTAGCCTATTATATATCAAAGATACTATTATAAGTTACTCCCGTAAGGGGTTCCTTTAACTCTAATAGTTTCGTAATAAAGTTCATCGTGATAGATGTCTACGTACCCTCTAGTATCTATAATAGTTATAGTAACCCGTATAGCTTATATTAACTATACTTATCCCGTATATACACTTCGTAATTCTACGTAAATTCTTATATATCTTTTCTTATACCCCTCTATAGTTCATAGTATTAGGTAATTAACTCGATTATTTTATTGATTCCTAGATGTCCTATAAGTAGATCATCGTAGTAGTGTTTTATAACTAATTTTCTATTTTCATCTAGTTTCTATAGTTACTCTATCCCTATAGTATCCTTTATCTAGATTCTTGTATCATACCTATTATTTATACTATATAATGGCCCTCCTACTACGTAAGTAGGTTAAGCGTACGTGAGGTACTCTCCTTCTTATCGTAGAAGTGACGCGGGCGTTAGTTTAATATCCGCTATGTAATCTAGCCTACGGCTTAAGGCGTCTACCCTACCGTTTTCCTTACCCTTTGTTCGGAGGACTCGGAGGATTACCTAGATAGGTAATAGATAGGCTCATTATAGGATCGAACCGATAGGTATTAACTATTCGACTATAGAAGGCTTAGTGAACTTAACTATCTAAGAGAGGGGAGAGGAGTGTCTTTATATAGGTAGTGAGTGGCGATAGTTAGAAGATAAACGAAACCCATCGAATCGCTATTAGTAAGCGATGATGTAAGTGGCTACACTACCTAGTTATCTTAACTAGCTAAGCCACCTAGCTACGTGATCAAGTCACGTGCCTAGCGCTAAGCCTAGTTAGGTAAGAGACCTAGATAGCGATATTCCACACCCTTAATATAGTAGATCTAGAAGTTATAAGTGGCGAGCGTCTCTACCTATCTTACCTATCTTCGATTAAGAACTTTCGTCGTATTCTAATATAGTAGGTTCTTATAGTCGGAGTATATCTTAACCGTACGTTTAGGTCCTTCGAGGTATACTCTCTAATACTTTAGTACTTCGACGATAGTAAGTAGTTCTTTATCGTATATATCATAGTTTAGCTCTAGTACTGTCATTTTTCTCGAGAAGTAAGCTACTAGCCTTACTTTTTTATCTTATCCTATCTATATTAGGACCGCGGCGATCGCGCCGTCTAATGCATCCGTTTTAAGGAGTGTCTAGAGGTCCGGGTTAAAGATCGTAAGGATCGGAGCCTCCGTAAACGCCTTTTTTAGTTTTCGTACTGCCTCTTAAGCGTCTCCCGTTAAAGTAAAGGTCGCGACTCCTTTCTTTATTAAGTTCGTTAGAGGTGCTGCGATTCGCGAATAGTTCCTAATGAACTTTCTATAGAAATTAGCGAATCTAAGGAACGCTTATAATTCCTTAAGTATTACTAGTTCTAGCTATTCTAGTATACTTTTAACCTTCTCTAGGTCTATCTATAGTCCGTCTTATAAGACTATATAGTTAAGAAATCTTATACTTAGCTTATAAAACTAGCATTTTTCTAACTTAACTAGTAGTTAATATTCTCTTAAGGCCTCTAAGACCTTAATAACGTATTCTATATATAGTTTATATTCTTCTAAGTAAATTAGAATATCGTTAAGGTATGCGACGTAGAAGATATCTAAGTATTTCCGTAAGACGTTATTAATCAGTACTTAGAACGTCGTTAGTATATTAGTAAGCCTAAATAGCATTATATAGTACTTATATAGACTATATCGGGTCCTAAAGACGGTCTTCTACTCTTCGCCTTCCTTTATACGTATACGATAGTACGCGTCTCTTACGTCGATCGTTATAAAGTACCTCGCTTCTCTAAGCTTATCCTATAGCTCGTTAATCCGTAGTAGCGAGTATACGTTTTTAACGGTAATCTCGTTTAACTTTCGATAGTCTATATATAATCGAAGTTCTTTACCGCCCTTCTTAAGGATAAATAGAATCGGATAGCCTACTTCTAATTCTAAGGGTCTAATATAGTCTTTTATTAAGTTATCCTTAAGGTAATCGCGTAGAGCCTTTTACTCTACTTCGGATAGTAAGTATAGTAGTCCGAACGTAGGTTTCTTCCCTTCCTAGAGTTATATCTTATAATCCTACGGCTTATATTTAGGTAGTGCCTCGAGTCCTACCTTTTTCTCGAATACTTCTTTAAGTTCTTTATACTTAGGCGGACATTCGGATACTTCGGCTAAAATTTTTATAGGTCGTACCTATACTTCCTTCCTTATAAAGGGTTATACCGTTATTACCTCTCAGTCTTAAGGTCTCTCGATATAGTCGTAGTTATCGAACCGTACCTGTGATGGGTTGAACCCAGAAGGAGGCTCGGTTCTGACGAACCAGCGCTAAGACTAACGACAGGACTAACGCCACCTCCTGATTAGCTAAATTTACCTGTACATTGTACAGGCAAAATGCCGCCTCCTGATTAGACGAGGCACGTACCGTGCAAGGGATACCGAATCCTGGCAAACTGAGACACCGTACGTAAGGGAAGGTAAGGAAGAGAGACAAAAGGCAAGGGAAACGTAAGGCGTGTACGAAAGAGGAAGGATAAGGGAGAAAGGGGAAGATAATGAGTATCCCTTGCGGAAGAGCGTACGATATAAGGAGAGAAGGAGGGGACATTATTCCTCCTTCTCTCTCCTCAGATTTATCCTCCTTGTTACTAGGTTGGCTAGCTAGTTACAGAACTCTTTCCAAACCCTCACACTTAATGTCTTCCCCTTTCTCCCTTATCCTTCCTCTTTCGTACACGCCTTACGTTTCCCTTGCCTTTTGTCTCTCTTCCTTACCTTCCCTTGCGTACGGTGTCTCAGTTTGCCAGGATTCGGTATCCCTTGTACGGTACGCGCCTCGTCCAATCAGGAGGTGGCGTTAGTCCTGTCGTTAGTCTTGGCGCTGGTTCGTCAGAACCGAGCCTCCTTCTAGGTTCAACCCATCACACTATATACGCTAAGCTAGGATAAGGATATCCTCTATAACTAGCTTAGTTAAGTATAGATTAAAGTCCTTATATTCTACTTAATTCGCGAAGCGAGCTAATAGTAACCTTATCTACTATCAGACTAGTTAGCTAACTAAAGGGTGAATGTATATACTATAGGATTAATAATGATAGATAACTAGTCTATAGATAGAGATATTAACGCTTAAAGAAGGCTTTAAGGTTAATAGGTAAGATCCCTCCTACTATATATATACGATAAGCTAGCTACTTAGCTAGCGGCCTAATTCCTTAGTAGGTAGCCTAAGCTGAGTGTCTAGTATCACGTGGGTGTTCGTGATAGGAACTACCTTTAGAGGCTACCTGTATAGTCCTAGCGAACTACATTAAGATATATTAGTATGTTTAATATGTATCGATAGGTTCATATATATTTCCCTTAGCGTACCTACCGAATACATTAGTACGTTCCCTTCTTTAAATATGTTAATAAATACATTCCTTGGCGGGTACGCGTTAGCCTCCCTTCGGTACACCTTCCCCCTTTTTGTGTCTCCAGGTTAAGGAAAAGGCCTGTTCGTAACACGAGCCTTAACTGTAAGTCAGACCGAGCTTGGACTTGAATCACTAATGGGCGTTCTCCATTCCAGCCATCAGGAAACTAATTAATTATGCAGGTAGCAGACTTGGAAACAAAACATCACATGTTCCTTGGTGACTTGGACGATTAGTTCTCGTGAGGTGGTTGGATGTGGTCGAAAGCCAGGGTCAGCGTGCAGTGTGTCCTATGCTGCCATATCAATTAACGAATTCATCGGTCGACATGGACATCTCTTGTGAGTTTGACGTTCTCCCCTTCCTCGACGAGACCTACTCACACCTCTCCGTGAGGTAGCGACCTTTTGCAATCTGTTGTTATACAGTCCTCCCCAGACTCCTATGGTCACCGGATGTTTACACGGCTGCCTTCTCCGCCTTGCCTCCAAAGACCTCGATAAGAACACACATGCGCATGAAAAAGCTACAGGATGACGGGCAGTCGATCGGTTGTCCCATTGTTGGGCCCTTCTGCAATGTTCAAGTCCAACGCCATGGAAGCCCGCAACAACAATTCAACATTTCTCCTAAAGTCGTCACACCACTGCAACTTCACCGCGAGGTGCTGCTGCGAGCCAGTGGAGCATAGATCGATCGTTGTGGTACTACGCCCTGGTCCCTGATTGGACATGTGCACCAGCTTCCAAGACGAGGAGAAGACCTTTTCCAGCATGCCGTAATGAGACTTGTAAAAGTCTATGGATTCTTGGAGAGTGTTCCACATGGTGATGATCAGAGGAGGCGTGTGTGTGGTCGACTGCAGCGTCATGCTTAGCTTCAAGATTAAAAAGGGGTAGGCAATGCAAGCCAGCCTGCGTATTCCGGTCAGTCCGCCGCGTTCCTCTTGTTTACGGCATCTTCACACTCACGCGGTCGGAGGAAGTTTTGAGAGCAGGTTCTGCACTTGTAGCCTTCTCGTCAGGTTGCAAATGGTCTGAATGCTGTCGTAGATATTACTTCTCGCCACGCTCAGCCGCTGAGAGTCGTACGCATTGATATAGCCCGGATAGAAATACGCTGCGGTGATTTCGTGCTGATGGAGTGCAATCCTAGCGCTACTATCTTACCATGTCAGTGTCACGACACTTCCAATAGTCAAGGATGGTGCCGTACCTATGGCACATAAGAAGAAGGCTCCGGAAGAACACAGCCACGTTTCCCTCGTGGGCGGGGAGCGGGGAGTCGGGGAATTCGGTCAGGAAAGTGGTGGACCACTTGTCTAGAGCGGACCGACACCTCTCCACGCGCAAGACAAAGTCGGAGTGGTCGCTCAACGAGTCGATGGGCGTGACTCCAGCATTGTCATGAGGATACACCATCATCAGGAGGTCGGTCAACATGATGGCAAATTGGACACAGGCAAAATGGATCTTGGCCAAATAGCGTTCCGTGTCAACATCGTGGATGAGAGAGCCCATGTATTCGCCTTTGCCTGTTGCCACCCCCTCAGGAACCCTCTCAAAGGCCGTGCTGGCGTCGTAACTCTCTGGTCTGATCTGAAGCGGTCGGCGCATGCTAGGGAAAGGATCCGGTCGCGGATAAGGCAGCAATGCCAAAGTCTTTGTGCACCGTTGGGCCACGCCGAACTCTGATTTGCTTTGACCGGCGACCGATACCCTCGCAGCACTTTGGTGTACTGAATGGCAATATTGAGCCACAGAGTGTTATCCTGGTGCATACTATCCGTTGGAGCGATCAAGGAAAGCATCAAGGACCCCTGCGCGATCGCTAAGGGATCCTCCTCGGTTCGGAAATCGTAAAGATGCTGGAAAAGAATGTTAATTAGGTTGCCACGCAAAGCTCTAGAGACGGAAGCATGCTCACCTTGGCACGTTGGAACAAGATCCAGCATGCCTGCTGATGAGAGGCAAAGCCGCTACTCAACAGGACCCCAATGGGAACTTTCTTGGGCCGTCAATAGTCATTAGCCTTGGTACAGCACAGAGCTTGAAGTCTGGTTGGTCAAGAATACAGAAAACGGATGAGCAAAGGAAGAGGGGCTTTCTTACCATCGAGGAAGCGGCCAACATGGCCTGAAAGGTGAAGAGCGATAGCTGGTGTTCGGAGCTTTCCTCACATTCTGGCTGCTGGTAGAGGCGCCAAAATTCGCACTCGTTGAAGATTGGAAGAAGTGGATGTATATAAAGAAAATACTGCTTCATAAACACGTCCAAAACGGCCTTGGGGAGTAGTGTAAAGCATCCTCGTTGTTCCAGGAACTTGACATCCTCCTGGTCGAGCCGGTCGAGCCTGGTACACTTGAGGAAAGGGCAGGAGGTGGCAACGGCATCATCTTTCCCCGGTAGGCAGAAATTAGCTGGATGGACGGGTTGTAATCCGAAGCCCAACTTCTGCTGCCAAAACAAATTCTCGTCTACGTTTACCCAGAAAGTCAGATGACTGCGCCTTGAGACTTGAAAACGGGAAAAGTGGGTATGTCGGCCTGTTGGTGAGCTGCGGCTTTTGCTGTAAACTCACATGAGGGCTGAATCTGGACCTTCGGTCCGGCTGCAGCCGGGTTTTCGAGAGTAAACAGATCCCCCATACCCGAAGTTTGCGAAAAAGACTCAAACAGCTGATCGAAACTAATGTTTACAGAATCCCGGGTGCGCTGCTGCGGTTGCGCATGAGCTGCACTCTGTGGCGCCGGACTCGCGACTGAGACTGCCATACACTGTTGCGCAGCATTGGCAGTAGCAGGATTTCGAACGTCGAAGCGGCGTTGACCATCATCTCTGTCCGGACGGGATCAGAAGGTGCATGGTAGCGTAGTGAGCCGGTGAGCAGCAGAGTTGCACTCACCTGTCATGGCTGCTTGTTTCCATGTCGCACGTGAAGCCATCCGACGCGCATTTGGTGCATGGACGAACGCCGTGTGAAAGGTCGCAGCGCACCTTCCGGCGTCGGCAGGACAAGCAGGTTTTGATGGCCCTCCGTCGGGGGCCAGAACGATGGCTGATGAAACTCCCCAGCTGTGCTCCTGATACGGTATTTTCTCCGTATGGAGGGGCGAGTCCATCAGGCAATAATAGATTCATCGAAAGCCGGCCTGGCGAGGAAATAAACGGGTCGGGAGAATGGAGCAATGTTGATTTTGGTCTCTCCAGCGTGGCAGGCCAAGCAATATATACAGGATCAGGTTCCTCACCCCGCAGAGGGGCCCCACACTTCGGAGGCTAAAGGTGACATACCGACTTAAAGAGGGGAGGCGAGGAGCACACGGTCTAGCCCTTGTTAGACAGCCCTAAGCCCCCCAAGTCTCCTCCCCTTGATGCCTGGGGCTTCAAGCACAACTATACATGGAGCAAAAAAAAAAACAAAAACAAAGCAAATCCTTCATGCACATACGGTGACCACGTAACGTAACGGGATCCGGCAAGCAAACTCGATATGTAAGTTTCTATAGTCTTTGCACGCCTGGTCTTTGTCGAGCGAGGTCTCTTAATTGCCGCCGTAAGATCTTGCCTGATGGGTTCTTCGGAACTGCGTCAATCCACTGAACTCCACCGGCCAGCCACTTATATCTGACCGTCCTCTGTCTCACCAAGTCTTCAATATCTTTGGCGGTGATCGTCGCGCCCGGTCGCTTCTGCACAAAGGCGCATGGCTTCTCATCGCCCTCTTCAGTTGGCTTACCTATCACCGCCACGTCTATAACGTCCGGGTGCTCAAGAATCAGGGCTTCGAGCTCGGCGGGGGCCACCTGATTGCCCTTGACTTTGATGAGCTCTGTGAGTCGTCAGTCAGATCGATGAGCACGATGATCCATTAGTTGATCACCCTTACCTTTGATTCTGTCGACGATAAAGAAACAGCCCGTGTGGTCGATGTAGGCCACGTCGCCAGTCCTCAACCACCGGCCTTCTCGGTCTTCCACGAAAGCGTTCGCCGTCGCTGATGGATTCCGCCAGTATCCTTTCATGACATTGGGACCGCGCACCCACAGCTCGCCGGTGTAATCCGGCCCACGCTGCGTGACAGGGACGAAATCTTCGGTGCCATTCAACTTCACCACCACCTGCACGATCCGGGCTTCGCAGTTGGGATTGAGCTCACCCACCCCGCTGGAGTCGGAGTACCGTGTCGGATCCCATCCTAACAGAGAGCTGGTGACTCTTCGGACTAGAGTCAGCATAGGTTGCGAAATATTCCCGAAAGGAGCAAAAAGGGCAGGGCCTAACGGGAATGAGGAGGAGAAAGGGACAGGAATGCATTGCCACTTACTCGGTCATGCCCCATCCCTGCTTAACGTTGACTCTGCCATTCAAGATCTTCTCCAATCGTCGACAAATGTCTCGACTCAAGGGTGCGGCACCACTGGTAACGGCCGAAATGGAGCTCAGATCAAAGTTCCTTGTCGCAGGGTGCTTCACCAGGGCCACGGCAATCGGCGGAACGAGGGCAAGATCCGTGATTCGAAATCGTTGGACGTTGTTCAAAACTTCCAACAGGTCGAATTTGGTCATGATATAGACCGGGATCCTTTGCTGCAAGGCGCAAGCAACATAGAGGGTCTGGGCCAGGGCATGATACAACGGCAAATAGCAGAGCCATCTTGCCTTCTTGGTTCGCTCGCAGTGATCGGGCCAGAGCGTATTTAGGAAGTTAAGTTGCAACGTGTTGGCCACATAATTGCGGTGGGTGATCTCCACGCCCTTGGCCAGCCCCGTGGTGCCGGAGGAATAGTTGAGCGCGACAGTCTTGTCGCATTCCCCGGGCCCATCTAACGTGTGCCAGCCATAATTGCTCGCTTTCACTTCCGGTGCCATCAAGGCGTCCCAGCTTCTGCATACTTGTGTGACAGATTCCCTCTCATCTGGATCGGGGCCCCAGAAAATGGAGTCGTTGAGCAGGAAAATTCGACTGGGCTCTAGACCGCACAGCTTGGCCGTCTCCAAAGCTGTCTGGACCAGAAAGTCTGCACAGAGCACAATGCTGGCCCCTGAATCGCGGATTTGATGCGCAAGCTCCCTCGACGTGTAGGTGGGGTTTGCGCCTGAGAAGATACCTCCCGCCATGACGATACCGAAGAAGGCCACCGGCACAGCCAACGAGTTACCGGAAAAGACCACCACTCGATCTCCATCCTGAAAATGTGCGTGCTTCCGCAGCCCCATCGCTAGTCTCTGCGACCATAGCTTGAACGAATTTCTTGTAAGAAATCGCTCGCCTGAACGGGACGCATCCAAGAAGCATGGCTCCGAGCCCAGATCGGCCTTTGCGTCACCAAACACAAAGGTCGGAAACGAGCATCTGGGGATGTCGACCGACCAACGAGACCGGTAAGTCATGAGAGTCAATGCTCCCTAGCTCCCTAGTTTCCTGCCGACTGATGCCCTTTACACTATCTTCTGATTTAAAGGAATGGGGAAGTCTTGTAAGCAGCTGAACACAAATCTACCTCCTTGTCGCTGCTAAGCTGGCAACACTGGATGGTCGGCCTGGCAAATATAAAGTGATCTATATATAGTTTTGACCAAAGATCCCTCGAGGCTCCTGCGTGTCTCGCGGATGCCGCGGGCTGTTGCCGTCGAACACTGAGCATCCTCTCGACGTTATCCGCAAGGCAGGATCGTCGGCTGTGTGGATATGTACTCGTTCGGCCGAAGCCCGTAACCCGATTGGCCCAGCACACCGAAAGCCAAACTCGGCCAAAAGAAACGCCCCACCCCGAGCGGGAGGAGCTGTCGTACACAAAGTCTGAGAAACATCCTGGCACGCTGCGCGACGTACTCCCTGGGCCTTCAAGAAATTGTCACCTGGTTCTGGCACGTGAAATAATGGTGGTCGGCGCTGAAGGTTGTGCCTCGGATATGAGAAACCCTCTCTGATGCCACCACACCCAGCTATTACCGCCATATAGTAGCTGTGGTGCGTCACTGCAAAAGATTCTGCTCGCACGTTGAAATCACAGTATCGATCAACATGTTCATACTCTCCTATCCTGTTCATGACCTGACCGAAGGCCCAGGCTTCTTTGCCATTTCTTTTGTGTTGGGTGTGCTTTTGCATCTGGGGTATTTCATCCATGGCGAGCACCATATGCTGGCCTTACGCTACTTCCAAGCCCTCCTGGCCTTGCCAGCAGTTGCCACGTTGGCTCTTGTGCGTCATGGCATGCAGCCAGTCGCTGCGCTCGGTCTGACTGCTGCACTGACCATCACCTTGCTCCTAGGGCTTTTCACGAGCATGGCTGTCTATCGCGGCTTCTTTCACCGCTTAAGGTCCTTCCCGGGCCCGTCACTCGCAAAATACTCAAAGTTGTGGCATTTTGGCCTCGTGACGCGATCTGTTCGCAATTTTGAGGAGATGGACAAGCTCCACAGAGAGTACGGGCCATTCGTTCGCATCGGTATAGGTTCTTTCCGTCCCCAAACCACTAATGTTCGTCGGCTGACATCGACTTCTTGCAGGTCCCAATGAACTGTCCATTGTCCATCCTGATGCCATGAAGGTGGTCCACGGGTCCGCTTCCAAATGTTCCAAGGGGACCTGGTACGATAGCACACCGGCTTTGACCTCGATGCACAGCACTCGGTCACGGTATTTCCATGATCTTCGCCGTCGAAGCTGGGCTAAAGGTTTCACTGCTCAAGGTCGGCTCCATTTTGGCACTCCCGAGTGTTGAAGACCGTGAAACAACTGACAGCAGCTGCACAGCGTTGCGAGACTACGAACCTAGGGTGAAACTATTCACTCAATCCCTAACCCAACAAATCGCCGCTCGCACGGGCCAGCCGTTGAATGCCTCGCAGTGGTTCAACTACTATAGCTTTGACGTCATGGGCGATCTTGCATACGGCAAGTCTTTTGACATGCTCGAGACAGGTGGGAGCCATTGGGCGATTGACCTGCTGAACGAAGGAATTTACTATATGGGGACCCTTGGCCATGTCACCTGGGCAGTCATCCTCTTCACCTACGTGCCCATACTTAATCGCAAATTTCGCCAGTTTCTAGCATTCTGTGAGAAAATGATCGACGACCGAGTGGCAACGGGATCCGAATCTCAGGACATCTCGTCCTGGATCATCAACTCTCCTTCCATGGCCAGCAGTGGTTTTACAGACAAAGCATGGTTGCTGGGTGATTCCCGCCTGATCATCGTAGCAGGCAGTGACACGACGGCCGCAACCTTGACACATCTTTTCTACCATCTCGCCAAGGAGCCGGCTCACATTGACGCGCTGAGAGAGGAGCTCGACCTTCTAAAAGGGGAATTCAATTTTACGTCTCTCCAGAAATTGCCCTTTCTCAATGCTTTAATCAACGAGACCTTGAGATTGCACCCTCCCGTAGCGTCAGGAACGCAGCGAATAACCTCGCCGGAGGGTATACAGCTTGGCGACACCTATATCCCGGGAGGTGTCAACATTATCATCCCCTTCTACACCATGTTCAGAGGTAAGTGGAGGAGCGGAAGTCTTGTCTCTGGACAAACTGATGGTACTGACACGCAAGTTAGCCGAAAGCTGCTTTGAGCGACCGACAGAGTTCTTGCCGGACAGATGGTGAGTCAACGAGTTCGACAAGTGGGGTTGTCTGAGCCCAGTTGGCACAGTGGCTAATTGTACACGGCTTCTATAGGGTCCATGATTCCAAGTATTCGGACCATTCTGCGGCGTTCGCCCCATTCTCAAGCGGTATGTTTCGAGCCTGATGAACTCTCCTTGCCAAATTCCTCTCCCTGTCTTCTAGCTCCTGAAGGAACTATTCTCATCGGGTATGTACCTGTGAATCCTTCTCGCTGATTAACGTGATACTAGGTCCCTATTCCTGTATTGGTAAACAGCTGGCTCTGATGGAGCTTCAGTCGGTATGTGCTCGCCTGGTCACAGAATTTGACGTGACATTTGCCCCTGGAGAAGATGGCACAAACCTCTTGACCAACACGAAGGATTGTTTCACCATGCAACTGGCCCCATTGAATCTCTGCTTCACACCGCGGAGATCCAAGGCGTCGTGAATGTCGTAAAAGGCTTTCTAAATAGCCATAATCACGATCGAATAAAGCTGGCACTGACCGAGTCGAACTATTACAGTAATAATGATATTACAAAGTGCAGGCACATATGTGGATAACTCTTAGGTAGCCCCGTGAGGACAAATTGATTCCTTCATTATCAACGCCATCAAATTAAACAGGCGTCATCATTATGGGATCACTGAGTGCGCCTCGATCAAGTGAAGTCGAAGGTCCCGCCGTAATTTTACAGGGTTCTGCCCAAACTTGGAGATCTTGCATCCCGTGTGAGTTGCTCTTCTGCTCAAGACACGAGTCATCGACGACCTTCGAGTTTGCAATGACCAGTTCCAGGCTTGAAAAGAAAGGAGACGGTGGTGGGTGGCCATATTGTGTCGACAAAAAAAGGGGATAACTCGGTCTGCCAGGAATAGTTCCCCGGTACTTTTCTGATGTGTAGGATACAAGACATTCTATTATGCTCTCAGGGGCTTGAACTAAATGCTTGAATGGACCACCGGGTACAATGCGAAATGGTATTAGGAGAACACAATAAGTAATCTGACACTACGAAAGAGAGAATACCCTATGATCAAATAGTCCTTCTTTAAACATTCCGCTCTCCATATCCCCCGTTCCAATGTGTGCTGCTTTCCTCATAGTCGGCAGGTTTGTAGAACTCGGGGCCTGGATTCCGGGCGTCCTCAAACATTGAGCCAGAAATGAAACCACTCATGCACCGTCGCTCCCTCGTAATCCTCTTGACCTTCGAAACCGCCAGTGATATTGCCAACCCAGCGTTTATAGCCGCCAGAGATTATTGGCGGATCCCACGCCAAGGCCTCATTCACGACATCGGCCACAAAGGTGCCTTCATCGGTGGTGAACTCGATGTGAAAGCCACTTGGATCTCCTTGCAGCGGAGCCGGAGGGTATTCAGAGTTTGCTCCAGTGGGTCGGACGGTGATGCCACTGCAACCTGAGGCAACTATTTGACCATCCTTGGCCAGGTAGCCGCTGACGTATTCTTGATCGTTGGTGGCGATCGCGTCAAACCAGACCAGAGAGTAAGGCCCAACCCGACCGTGGCCCCAGTACCAACTTTTCATCGATGCGGGGATACGTGCGATGCCCCAATTCTACCGAAAGGTTAGTCAGAAAGGACAAGCCGCGCAGTATCATAAGTCTAGGGGCGTCTTGCCTTGTCATGATATCCTGGGCCTGTGAAGGACACTTGCTGGCCGAGGATGTTCAGCTCGACCGTGGCTGCTGCATCGGGAATAGCATTAGCCCATCCCACGTTCGGGAAAAGCTCTTCGTTTTGTCCCGCGCTGTTAGGACCACACGGATAGTGTGCGGGAGCGACCTGAGATTAAAAGACGTGATTAGTTAAGAGAGAGGCAAGCCAGCATGGTTAAAGGAAGATTCGCGGAGCTTGGGCCTCCTGGCTCCAACGAAAAGTCCAAGGAAAGACGCAGCAGAAACTTACCGAGTTCAAAGTCATATTGCCGGCGACCCCCAGCGATGAGTCGTCAACAGTCACGACGTAAGAAGAGATATCGCCCGCTCCGGTCCAAGATACTCCTGAGCCAGCATAGCTACCAGAAGTACCATCTTCCGATGTGACTATGGTGGCATCCCCGCTCAGGAGAACCTCCTGAAAGATAGTCTGATCCGGCATGAGGACAGATAGAAAACAATAGTTGGACGTTCCAACACTGATCGGGAATCCCAAGGTCGAGCTGTCTCCCGAGACCATGATAATGGTGGCCTGTAACTGTCGGTCGTCCGAGACAGCGTCGAAGTACCACCAGTCGAAGCTGGTGGCGTTGATCTTGTCGAGCTTTGGCCCGTCCAATGCAGTACCGCTAGTAGTAAACTCGGCGGTCGACGGTCCGACTTGGAGCACAGGTGGATAGACATGGGTTTCCTGGCCGAGGACGGGAAATACGCATGTTATGCCTAATAGCAAAAGTGTTTGGTAGAATTTCATGGTGACGACAGTCAAACAGAACAACAGTATCAAGGATCGACTAAAAAATGAGCATAAAGATTGTATAGAACTTAAGAGAGTGTAGAGAACGACGGTAGAAAACCTTTGCGACAACAAACCAGTAGAGGTCACCACCAGGCTGGTTTTATACCTCGTAGGGGCTTGCTTTTGTAGCTCACAGAGATGCGTCCGACTGACAGATTGGAGTATATTTTCCTCCATCTTCGGTCTTGGGCCGACTGATGTCGTTCACTGACGGCCGCAATTTCGCAAAGCGGATTCAGTTTGATTGCACCTCTGGGATTCTCCATTGGCAAGGAAGCTGGTAAGGAAGCTGGCAAGGAGCCGGCTTGCTGGGAGCCATATAGACAGTGCGAAGAACTCTTAACTAGCGGCTTCGGCTCCGGCTTCAGTGGTATAGCAACATAATTTGAGGACAATGCCGGCGGTCCAGCGCTTACGTTAGTCTCAAGGGCCCCCGCAACGGCACGGCCCGCATCGCAATCCATCCATAGAGAGCTCGCTTTTCGGCCGATGCTCGACCAGGACCGCTCGAGATGAACTCACTCGTGACGATTTTGGCCTACATGCGAGGTTTGATCCGGAGATTTGATAACCAAGTAAAGAGTGGCCTCATGCTCCTATCCGGGGACTGTGGTTTCTGAGGCTCGCATAGTCCATCAGGAGTCTAAGGCTAGATCCAGTCATTCCCCAGTATACCTCCTGCGCCCTCGGACAAACAGGAATGTAAGAAGTCCCGTCCCTCCAAATTCAGCAGCACTCCATCGAGAACACGTCTTATAGAATAAACCTGATTCTGCCATTAGACTTAACGTGATTACGAATTGTTCCGCTCGGTGGGTCAACGGGTCACGTCAAACCCCCCGGAGGTACCTGGGGTTTTAATTCGCGATTTGCCTCACTGCAGTAACAATGCGGAAAGTTCATGATCCCCGGGAAATCTCTGTTAGTTTTCACAACTCACAATCTTTGCGACTCCGTTGAACTGTGCCACAGAACCACAGGACAGAGTGGACATCATGGACAAGGTGCCGATAAAATCCGTCCTGGACATCGGGTCCGACTGCTATTCCAACCTCCACCTCTTGATGCTTTTACCTTCGTGATAGTCGACTGTGGGCCCTCCTGTCAGTGTTAAGAGACACACACTATTCACCGGAGCGCAAATTTGCCGACAAATTCCGTGCACCACCTCGGCTTGCCTGCGCTTGCTTGATACTCGAGTCTTTAGATGTGCATATACATTGTGGAAGGAGATCGTCACACCTCGTTCATTCATCAATGCTCGCGCCCGCCCCGGCACATCAAGCCGAATCCGCGAAGCCAAGTATCACCTCATTACTTATTGTTTCTCATCATGGGTTCTCAGGATATCAACTTCGTCCACACAGTGGGAGATGTGACGGCGGAGTTCTTGTCTAGCGTCCTGAACACCGACATTGCTGAAGTCTCGTCTCAGCGAATTGGAACAGGGCTCATTGGCGAATGCCATCGATTCAGGCTCCAATATGCGCTGGGGGCCAGTGAAGGACCATCGAGCGTAATGCTGAAGACCGCCGCGGCCGATGTAGACAGTCGCTCGACCGGCAAGTCTCTGAAGCTGTACCAGCGCGAGGCACTTTTTTACTCTGAAGTTGCTCCCACGCTCGCTATACCTTGCCTTGCCAAGTGCTACCATAGCGCTGCCAATGTGGAGCAGGATGCTTTCGACCTAGTGCTCGAAGACATTCACCCCGCCGAACCAGGTAACGACCTGACTGGGGCGAGCCTGGAGCAAGCTCACGTCGCTCTCGTGGAGCTGGCGAGACTGCAGATAGCTTCAGTGAAGAGCAAAAACACCTTACCCGAGTGGCTCCACGAGGACCCAGCGGCCTCACAATCTCTTTGTGAGACTATGTGGAAGCGGTTTGCAGAGCGCTATCAGGACAAACTGAAGCCTCAGCACCATCGGGTGTGCGAAAGATTTGTCGCCTGCTTCGACAATTACTCTCAGTCTTTCCGTGCACCCGAGACGGCCAAGTGTCTCGTACATGGAGACTACCGTCTGGACAACATGCTCTTTGGAGGAGACTCTGGCCGCGGTTTCGTCGTGGTTGACTGGCAAACCATGTCCTGGGGTCCCATGTTTCAAGACGTGGCATACTTTCTCGGATGCTGTGTCGAGCCCGAGATTCGCCGGGCTCACAGCAACGAGCTTCTGCGGGCATACTACGACGCTCTAGGAGCCAATGCGACCTTCACCTTTGATCAGTGCCAAGAAGGCGTGCGCCGTCAAAGCTTCCTCGGACTTGGACGAGCTTTTATAGCTCCCATGATCCTCGAGCGCACCGAATGTGGAGATGACCTGTTTCTGACCTTGCTCGACCGGCTTGTCAATCTGATTCTGGATCTTGATGCCCTCGAAACTCTCCCTGCTCCGTCGACGCCCACACCATTGCGGCCTGACCCTCAGGACGAGCAACGTCACCCAAGTGGAGAAGACTCATTACATAACGAGAGTTGGTACTTTGACGTCGCCGACCCGGAGCAAGCCACAGGGGTCTGGATTCGCCTGGGCGTGCTCCCTCATCAGCCGGGCTCATGGTACGCGGCGTTGATCTGCGGGCCGGGCCAGCCCACAATAGCGGTGGTGGACTTCAACGTCAAAACTGTCACAGAGGACCTAACCATTGACACCCCACACATCAAGGCCTCTCACACAGCCGTCTCCCCACTGAAGCAGTACCGCGTAACATTGACTGGTCTAGGAGAAGCGTTTGACGACCCTGCTGATCTGCTTCGTCGACCGCACGTACGGGGCCGTCAGGTTCCCGTGGACCTGGACCTGACCTGGCACACGGTCAGCACTCCATATAAGTGGCGCATGCTGGCTCGATACGAGATCTCATGTACAGTCAGCGGCACCGTCAAGATCGGTGGGCGCACTATATCTACCTTCAACCACGCCTATGGCCAGCGCGACCACTCCTGGGGACCTCGTGACTGGTGGGCTGCCGATTGGGTGTGGACGGCTTTCCACCTGGAGGACGGTACACATCTGCACGGCGTCGAGATTCGCATGCCAAAGATGCCCAAAATGGCGGCTGGATACCGACAAGACAAGGATAGCACCATCGTCGAGCTGTCCGGGGTCGTGGCAACCGAGGAAGTGGACGAAGAAACCCATTTGATCCGGAGTGCGACTATCAGCTACTCTTGTGCAGGTAAAGAGGACATCGTTCTCGACTTCGAGCCTGCGGGCAACGCACCTCTTCTGCTTGAGTCGACCAAGGACGGCCGCTTTTCCTATTTCCCACGCTGCTGGGCGAAGGTTCAAGCGCGTGATGGACGCAAAGGCGTCGGCTGGGTGGAGTGGAACAATGTGCAACATCAATGATCTGTGCGGAAGATAACTTCGATGGATGTTAGCAATGAAGAAAGCTGGTCTAGATTCTGTCCCGCTGAAGAACAAAGATTCAAGTCATTGTTGGTACAGAGTGTCATGTGCCTCGTGTGAGATGTTGAAAAGCGACAGAGTACGCACTACATCGGTTGCTGTACGTTACCTCCAAGCTCTTTTTTTAGTTTCCTGGAACGGGCTAGCATGTGACCACGTAGCGGTCCAAATGCAGGAGAACTTGAAAGAGATTTCCCTTGACATTCGCACAGTGTGCGCAACTCTGGAGACTTGCCAGACGACCAGAGACTCTTTCAAACCCAATGAAGATGGCCAGAAAAGTAGCTTTACATTAGTGAATGAGGCTGGGAATATCTCGCCACACTGCAACTTGAATCGACCTTCTCCTCTGGGGGCCCCCATGGTGGTCCGACTCCCTGATTTCCACAAATCCTAACCGGAAATGCTGAGAAATTGCTGTTCATGAATAATAAGCATCTAGCAAACTCTTTTGTTCGGGCTGTCAATTGCGTCATTCGAGACATTTGCCCATTTCTAACACGAAATTTCTCTGAAGAGGCATTAATTCAGTATGATAGGTGTCACCGCGCCAGCATAGCACGAAGTGTTATAGCACTAATAATATGAATACGAACTCGAGTAGAGTCTATCTATGTAAGAGTTAACCCACCTACGATAAGGTAATGGTCGTAGGTAGCGCGCGAAATAGTCGTGATAATAGGACTCTTGAGGGGCGTTTGGTCATGTTAGCTATGGCTTTTGGCTGGCCTCAAAATCTGTTGATTTCAACTTGCATGCTACGTTTGAAGCGCTAGAAGGGGAATCACAGTTGCTAGCGTATGGTTTGGTACGCAACAGTGCGTCTTCGTGGGAGATGCAGCTGCGATCAGGAGTCAACTCCTAAAACAGCCGCACAAATGGTGCCTCACTACTTTGAATGGTTTGTCAGAATTTTCACTATACAGAAAAGGCTCAAAGAAGTCGTGGAATGTCAGAATGCCCTGCTTCATACAGTCACAACGTCGAGGCCTGGTTGTGCATGATTGCGCGTGATTGCGCGACACAGGGGGGTTTTACATGTATTGCTGCATATGTATTGCTGTCATTTTGCATATAGAGCAAATCTTTTGGTATCCTCGACTCGCTCGTCGTCAGTATCGACCGGATTCTGTCAGAAATCCACTGTTCAAGGCTCCAAAGATGAACCTATCTTAAACCTCCTGTCTGCCCCTCGTTTCACCCTCGAAAATTACCTTGTCGATGACCAATCTTGCCAAAAGCCTGGTGAGTTGGCTGTTTTTCTCATGCCGGCCTAGCTGCTCTTCGCTTTTGACAAATTCCTGAGAACATACTCGTCACGCTCCCACATATATGTCACTGCTGCTCCGATTGGGCCAAGGCACAGAGATCGAAGAATGATGTCAGGCAATTCGCCCATATGAAGCCATCTCAAAACGGACAATGTGCTGTTGAGATCGATGCTGCTGCAATCGCGTACTGCTGCAGCCGTCACAACAGATGCCGCCGAACCAAGAAGATAGTCCCACTGCATGAAGATGTGAACACCCTCAAAGATATCCTTGACACGAAATCCGACGTCAAGTGGATTCTTCGGAAGAAACAAATGCCAGGGGCTGAGCTCCGTCGCAAGTTCAGATGTGACAAAGTCAGGAAGTATATAGGCCGATAAGGATATCGAGATAGTATAGATGTGTGAAAATGTTGCGATGATAAGTGCACTTGCGTAGACTCGTCGCGTCGTGTGCAGCTGCGACTTGATATCTTGGGACCGGTTGCCTTCAACATTCCATATTCGGAATAACGTCCGGAATACCTGATGCATCAAATGGGTGCATGCCGGATAGAAGATGTATGCAAGAACAGCATACTTCTTTTGCTCCATAGTTACAACGGACGGTCCTGGTAGAGCCATGGCGGCAACGACAAGGATGTAACCACAGAAAACGCCAAAAGGAATGGCTTCCAGGGCGATCCGATCTTCGATCTCAATGCTTGCGCCATTTGGGTAATCAGTTACTCCAGAGTACGTCAAAAATAGGTAGTGATAGATTGGAGAGGCAATGCCGACACCCATTCCTTGTATCGCAGCACCGAACAAGAGACAACTGGATAGAGTAGCGTAGTCAGTATTCAGTCCCCAAGAGGCCCGTGTTGTCACAAAGTTCAATGTATCATAATCAAACATCTTACGAAGGCACCAATTTCCCCTTGTTCCCTTTTCGTAAATCCTCAATCATTGCTATGAGCAGTAGTGCGGCGGTTTGTCCGGCGAATGGAATGTTAGAAAGTGAAAGCCACGGCGAATTTCCGTCGACGATAGGCCAGAAGAAGCAAACAACAAAACCCAAGAACAAATCAATCGACTCCATGCCTGTGAAGCCGTCTTCAAATGTCGTGATCTCATCGGTGAAACGTCGTCGGCTCACAAAATCAAAGAGCTTTTGGAAATAGCCATCGATAAATGAGAATACGAAGAGGACATAGAAGCCAAAGATTCCCATGCACACCAGCCCAATTCGTAATCGAGTAATGTCGGCCATCTCATGCCTTTGGCAAATCTGTGGAATGGGTTCTTGTTAGACCAAACTTGGAACAACTTTGGAAGGAGTAATGACGGCTGAAAGCAAAGAATTCTCAACATTGAAAGTGGTGGAACTCAAGATCAACCCCTTGGACGATAGCCCACCTATCTCACATGGTATTGCTGCTGACAGTATGTAATGAAGGGAAATTAGATGGTTGCCATCAATATAGGAGTATGCTTTAGCAATCGTCAAAACAAAGGACTACATTGAAGGTAATTCATACGTTCCTTTAGTGGCTGTATCCTGGTGGGCTCAAATACTGTAGCCATCGTGCCGCGGATCACAACAGCTTAGTCCCGGCACTGTCATGGGCTTCCTCTCGGCCGAAACTCAGACGACGATTAGGTGTGCTTCTAGATCTCTACGCAGCCTACTCCTCCTTTTCGAACGATGCAGGTGAGTGGTATTGACACTACCGTATTCACCATTACACCGATATGCCCTCAGTAAAACTACTAATCTTTTGGATTTTTGCTCGCCACTGTATACATTGGTGGACTGCAAGGCCGAGGAGAGAATAGACGAGGCTGAGTACGTGCTGGTCACGGGGTATGAGATCATCGCCAACCGCCTAGAGCCTCCGACGCGTTTCCGCTGCCACTTGGCGTCCCGCCCGACCCTCAATCCATCGAAGCCGCAGGCTTGTCTTGTCTTGCTGCCACTGCTGCGTCTTACTGAAACCAACCCTTGACAGTTGACTCTTGTACCTCGTCGGATAGAGTGCAGAACCTCCTCCCTGTCATGCGGAGGATTCTGCGTCCTCAGTCACCATGGCGCATTTCCTTCGCGGCAAGCAGGCCGGCATTCAGAATGACCTCTCTACCGGTGTTTCACCAGAATCTTTTATGCTAGACGATGTACGTTCGCTCCCTCTGAGATCTACAGTGATTCGAAGAAGACTGACAATGGTCTCAAGTTTGCCCGCTATGGCATCAATTCTCAGATCTCCGTGCTCTCCTATGACCCTGTTCAGTCTCTCCTCGCAGTCGGTACCAATGAATCTCAATTCGGCCCTGGGGTCGTCTATGTCTTTGGCCAGAAGCGAGTCTGTGTGACTTTCACCCCTCCTCGACCTTCATCCATCCGAACCATCCAATTTTGCGCCGACAAAATCCTTGTGCTCGACAGCAAGAACGATGTCAGCGTCTTCAGCCTCGACACCAGGCATCTGCTGGCAAATTATTCCCCTCCCGGCCAAGTCGTTGCCATCCTCTCGGATCCCAGTCTCGACTACTGTTTCTCTGGGTTGCAAAATGGTGGGCCCAATAAGATATATAGACTGGGCTGGGGGAAATTTTGCTGACATCCTTCGGCAGGGGAAATTGTGGCATTTGATTTGGACCGCGAGCATCAGACGGCATTCAAGATCCCCAACCTGTGGCGTGAGCGGAACCCCCGAGCACGGATTCTACCCATTGTATCGATGCAGTTCCATCCCAAGGACATAGGAACATTGCTTATTGGTTACTCCGAGGGCGCCGCCATCTACTCTTTTAAGCAGAACAAAGCGATCAAGTTCTTCCACTACGAACTCCCACCAGGCGCTCGAGGCGGGGATGGAGATCCTTCAAACGCCAACTCCGTACGGCATCCGCGGTTGACACATGCTCTCTGGCACCCAACTGGCACCTTTGTGTTGACGGCCCACGACGACTCGAGTCTGGTGTTCTGGGACCCTCGAGATGGCAGAGTCATCCACGCAAGGACAATTGAGGATACAGATGTCAACGTGCCTGGCGCTGGAAAGCCAAGAGATGTACCTAGGAGCCCTCTCACGCCGGTAAGCCCGGGCTTTGGTACAGTGAAGGAGCCGTACTTTCATATTGCATGGTGTTCCAAGGCAAATCCGGACGACACTGGCTTGCTTGTAGCAGGCGGCGCACCGACAACGAACCCCACGAGAGGCCTGACATTCCTCGAACTCGGTCCGACACCAAACTATCAAACCTCGACGTGGGATTTCCTCGCGAACCATTTCCGCCGTCCGAAACGCACACATGTGCTGCCAACACCACCTAATGCCGCGGTCAACACGTTTACCCTTATTCCTCGCTCGTCCCCACACTTTGCAGGCTCTCATGATCCGATAGCAGTCATGACTGTTCTCTCGTCTGGTGAAGTGATCACCTTGAGCTTCCCCTCTGGACATCCCATTACACCCAGCAACCAACTACACGTCTCGTTATCTTTCGTACATCCATTTGTGACCAAGACAGCACTCGCATTCGTCGATCGAACTAGGTGGCTCGGCATGCGTGAAGTTCGCCAACATGGTCCGCAGTTTCTGATCGGCGGCGCTGAGGGTATCAAGCCTCTTAAGAGACATGAAAACAGAAATATTGTCCAAGCCGCTCACGCGGACGGGACCATTCGCATATGGGATGCCGGACATGGCGATGTCATTGAAAATCCTGGCGTCCTCCAAGTCGATTTAGGAAAAGCCCTGGGTCGGTGGGATAATCTGGACGTGTCGCAGATGGGCATGTCTGGTGCAACGGGAGAGCTTTCGGTAGGACTGAAAACCGGAGAACTCGTTGTTTTTCGACTGAACCGCAATCAATTCTTTGGTCAGCCTCCATCTGATCCTGGCTCGAACGAAGGACCTGGCAAAATGCAGGATATCAGCAGACGAGCTGACCCAGGCTTGAAGGAAGGTCTCCTCCCTCTGACCATGACGAATGACCAACAAGGCCCCGTCACCGCTCTACGACATTCCGATGTTGGCTTTGTGGCAGCTGGTTATGCTGGAGGTGGGGTGACCATTGTTGATCTACGTGGTCCGGCTATCATCCACACAGCTCTTCTCAATGAGATGGTCGGTGGTAAACATCGGAGAGGTAGTATACGACGAGCTACTCCAGCCACTCAGTCGACAGAATATGCCACTTCGATGGAATTTGGCATCTTGACCCTTGATGGTGATGGTAAGTGTTTTCCATCCCTGGACTCCCGCGGTGTTAACATGTGAATAGATTACTCCTCACTCGCTCTATTTGTTGGAACATCTCGAGGTCGTGTCGCCACGTTCAAAATTCTCCCATCTCAGTCCGGACGGTATTCGGCACAGTCGACAGGTGTGGCCCAAATATCAGAGGACCGGGTCATCTCATTGTGCCCCATTGATACCCACACAGGTGCCCCTGCAGCTGCAACTGGATATGCAATGGGCGGTTTGCAGTCTGGTCGGAAAGTCGATGGCGTCCTTGTGGCAGTCACAGCTTCATCCGCCCACATCTTCCGTCCAGCATCTGCAAAAGGAGCCTCCAAGACTTTCGACCACTACCTGTGTGATTCGGCCACAGTAGCCCGCTACGAAGATCGTGGCTATGCAATTGTCGGGTTATTTGGTGATGGCGCCGCCCGGGCATTCTCAATCCCGGCACTGAAAGAAATTGCGAGCATCCGCGTCAATCATCTCCTTGACACGAAGCGTTTCGGGGACGCGATCGTGTCTCCCACAGGCGATATCCTAGGTTGGGCAGGTCCTAGCGAACTAGCCATGGTTAACGTCTTTGGCTGTGGTACGTCCCTCCCACCTAGCACCGACCGTCTCTACGACGGCACCAAAATGGTTCCTCCTCGACCTACGATCAGCAACCTGCAATGGATCGCGGGTACACAATACATCACTCCTTCAGACATGGACATCCTCATTGGAGGGCCCGACCGACCACCTTCTAAGCGAATGATGGCGGAGATGCGGGCTGCGCAGGAAGCCGAGTTTCAACGACAAAGGGAAGCCGCGCGAACAGGACGGGCACCCAAGCCTGACCATTCTCAGGAGACGTATTGGGCGTACATGCAGCGGCAGCTTCAAGAGAGAACAGAGAATCTGGGATTGGCGGGTGACAGTCTCGATCGAGCAGCCGAATCCAGCAGTTCGTGGAGCGACGGTGTGGACAAGTTTGTAGCGAAGCAGAAGAGAGCGGCAGCGCTGGGGTTTATTGGATCGAAGCTAGGGTTCTAAAAGATGTGCTGATGGAGTTTGAGCGAGGAGTTTTACGACTTGCACGCCAGCTACACCTCCTGAAAGCCGATCATGTGCGTGGCAAGGTATGCGCGTATCACGAGGCTTGCTGTGCTAATGAATGAGAAAAGAATATAGGTTGCAATGGTCAACCCACGTACTGGGCATCTTTGGCGCAGGCCTCGGTGCACAAGAGCACGATATAGATATACGACTTCAACCCCAGCTTCACGGGTGTCCCAGAGCCTTTCCTTTGCTGGAGAGAGCATCTATAGTGGCAATCTTTTGGAGTTTTCTCACACATCGTCACGGTTTTCTGTCGACAGTGCTGGGGGAGCTAGCTACTCGGCGTCTGGATATTCACCGGGTCAAAGGAAGGCCGTGTGCTATTTGTCTGTCATTCTGGCTGGTTGGTTGGTTGGTTATGTCTCATTTTGTTTCTTCTGGATCTATTTCCGCTTTTGAATTCCAGAGAGAGCAGAGATGCTCACAGGATAAGGCCCCGGGAAACCGAGTTATTACCCACATCCTCTTTGCGCCAGAGTGCCTTTATCCCCATCTACACAAATGTCAGAGGAGTGATTGAGTCGCTCTTCACCCTCCACCCTTCAACAACGACAGTGTCATGACAATGACAATGACGCCGCCTCCGCCGCCGCCGCAAACGGCCAATGAGTCGCAGTCGGTGCCACCGCCCAGCCCCATTGTCTTCTTTGCCTTTACGGTTTCCGACGTCGCCACGACAGCCGCATCCGGAATACCAGGGAGTTACTCGACCCATGCTCGAGACAAAGAACCGAGAAGGTCTTGTCATTGTTCTGTTTCTTTTTTTTTTGGTTTTGTGTGTCTGTGCACGGGTAAGGGGTTTAGGGACCAATGGTATCTCGAGGGCTAGGATCCCATGATGGTCTGTCCGCTCGTGGGTACGGAGGAGTGACGATGTACGATATACGACATACTGGAGGCCGGGCGGTGATGTGTTGGTAGCCTGTTCCATTGTCAAACGGTCGCAAGGATCTGCCCTGCTTGGATTTTTTTCCTATTGTTTTTTTCCCGTCGTTCGTCGGTTTCTTTGTTCGTTTCAACAATCGCTTTGTTTGGCCCTCGCGCCTACATACATCGGAGTTTTGGGCGAGGATTATCGCTGGAAGATTCCTAAAGACCTCGAAGTCGTGGGATCGAGGATTGAGAGCCATCAATTACCTAGCAAGTCCTTTTTCGGTCTCAGACGGTCGAGTCCAAGTGAAGTCTGAGTCCGAGTCCGAGTCTCAAGTCTCAAATCTCAAATCAAGTGAAAGCGAGGCAAGGCAAGTCATCCTCGCGAGAGAAAAACAAAAACCCGAGTAAGTGGTGTGGTGTGAAAAGAACCGAGACAAGATAATCTGCGTACTGGCAAGATGAAGAAACTGGCACGCACGCTGTCTTCGCGCGGCAGCAACCCAAAATCTCATCCCCATCCTCCTCCTCATCCACCATCGCCCTCAAGTGGTGTTAACCCTCATCATCAAGCGAACCGGGCTCGTGCTCGAACATCCTCCCTGACGAGCCCGATCCCGCCTCACACGCATCTCCATTTCCCGCAGTGCCCACACACCACTCCCCCGACGCCCCGACCGGCCCGGTTGCCGGCCGTGCTGAGGACCGAGGTCGTCGAGAATGCCGTCGCGGCAGATACCCCAGACGCTTCAGGGTTGGGTGGCACCGCGGCGGACACGGACCGCAGCAGGGGTGTCGTAGAAGTGCGGCAATTCCTGACCACGCCGACGCACTGTCTCGACTGCACGCTCGCGCTGGCCGCGCAGCATGAATCCTGGATCCGAGAGCTCTGCGACGGCGCGGTGCGGGAGGCGAGGTTGAGGCTCGTCGAATTGAGGTCGGGTCTGGCTGCTGCTGCTGCTCCTGCTGCTGCAGATGCTCATGACGACGACGACAAAAAGGAGCAGATCAAGTTCCAGGCCGAGATCCAACGTTACGAGCAGCGCATCGAAGAACACCTGCGCACGCGGGACGGCGATGTCAAGCAGGTGTGGGACCGCGTGCGTAAGGACTGGGAGGGCGGTGTTCGAGAGGTGGTCAGAGACGACGGCACGGGCGAGGCCGAGGAACGGTGCGTCTTTGTGGTGCCCTGGGAGGCCGAGGGAGAGGTGGTGGATACGGCGGCTGTGTCTGTCCCTCTCCAGGAAGGGATCGTGGCGCAAAAGGGGAGTGTGAAGGTTGCGTGGATACCGATGGGTGTGAGTGAGAGTCAGTGAGAGTAAGTTGAAATACGGAGGGGGTTGGCTTCATTTGGCTCTGCTAGGTGCTGTAGATACAAGATTGATGATGGGTGGACGAGAGGATGTGCATGCCGACACTACAGAAGGCGAGACTTCGCTGTATGCCTACAAATCCTCGTGTCAGCTGCCAAAATGCGTGTTTCTGTCGACCACTCCGTCCTCTTTCCATTCATTTTCCGACTTTGTTCCACTTCCACAGTGACCCTCCATGTCAGATTAGCTAGACACGAAGCCCCGACAGCGTTGGTTGTTTTGAGGATTTACGGTGGTTTGCAGATCTTGGCCGTGAGGCCATACGAATTGATCTCAGAACTCGCAACTACACATGTATATAGTGGTCTGTGTGGATGTGGAGATGCCTTCCCCAAAAAGTTAGGTCACACGGGTGGATGCGGGAAGTCATGAGCTTCTACAGACTAGAGATAGATGGTGCCTCAAGATACGATGCAGCTATCCCCTCAGGACTCCTCGACACAAATTTGATGGTCCATCACCAGACAGTCAGGTCTCTATCCCTGGAGCAGGTGACACTCCTGCAGCAAGTCTTCAAGCTTCTCCTCATCCTCTTGCCCGCGCCCGTTCCGCCTCCCACCACCCGAGCACTCCCCCTCGTGTTTGGAATGCGCGATCTTTGCCAAATATCGCTTTCGTTGCTGCTTGCGGACGATATTCTCCTCGATGCTCTGCTCCACCACATACCGCCACACCGTCACTGGCTTGTCTTGTCCGATGCGGTGGGCGCGGCCGATAGCTTGCTCTTCTACCATAGGGTTCCAGTGTGGCTCCATGAGATGGACATCGGTCGCCTCTGTAAGAGTCAGACCCACAGAGCCTGTTCCAAACGTGACGAGCATCACTCGTACTTCTGGATCCGTCCGGAACGCAGAGAGTGCTCTGGCTCGATCATCCGGCGAGTGCTTGCCGTCGATACGCACGCATTGTATGCCGTACCGTTGAAGTTGTTTCTCCAGCAGTGCTAGTGCGTGTAACCAGTATGAGAAAACAAGGCTGTCGTCGTCTTAGCATACTCTCACGGATTCAGGAGCTGCCACTCACCTCTTCCCAGTACCCGCAAGGGGCTCCTGGTGTAGCTCTAGGAGCTTGGACGTTACTGCGACAATTTTCGCAGGGGTGAAATTCCCCGTGTCCTGCTCCGGCGGGATAAGGGAAGTAATCCCGTCATATGTACTGGTGGCACCCGGAGGATTACCAGAGACGAGGTCTTCTTCGACCGCCCCACATATGAGACAGGATACCTCCTTAGCTAATGCTTCGGCGCTGTTGTTTGGAGAATTCGCCCTACAGGCTTTACAGAGCGCATGGCCGCATTGTCCGTGGAAAACCGACGGCCACTCGGCTTTCCTGATGGTCCCGCCACATTGATTACAAGTAACGTTGGAGACCCAGGCTGGAATTTCGGCAAGCTGGCGTGCAGAGCGGTCTTGCAAACTGATCCCGTCGCAGCAAATCCTCCGTAAGTCTCGGATGCCTAGGAGAGTGCTTATCGAGCGCTGTGCTTTTTGGACCTTGGAGGCCTCGGCCAAGGTTTGGAGGATGCTAGTTTTCACCACATCATATTGGTCGCGTTCCTGATTGGAAAGCGAGACGCTGATCGTGCGTAACGTTACACCACCTAGGCCCAGGGCCTGTTTCATACGGCGAATCTGAAATACCCTAGTCATACGGCGTAGATCAGAGAGACCAGCCTCATCACGCCTGGATAATGGATCCGTAATGAACTTCCTAAACGATCGGGTCGAGTCGAAGGGATAGAATCTGAGCCAGCGAGTGAGAGCGCAAAGATCGCCCAGGCCATTCTGAACGGGCGTGCCTGTCAAACACCATCTCCTCTCGGCCTCAAATTCATGCAAGGTTTGGAAAACCTGTGTTGAGGAGTTGCGAATCCAGTGGGCTTCGTCAAGGGCGATTCGGAACCATGAAAATTGACCCAGATGACTAGATGATGACTTTCGTCCCAAGGAGATAGTTTCGTATGTCGTCAGCACAACTTGAGCAGTTGCCAAGTCCGAATGCAGCCTTGGTTTTGCCTGGCCGTGGTGGACGTAGAGGCGTAAAGCCTTTGCGTCTAGATGTCTAGCAGAGGGAGTCAGTGGTGTGTTATGTTTCCCCATTGCGGCTTGGACTTACTTGGAAAGCTCGTCTTGCCAATTCTGCAGAGCTGCATCGTGTCAGGAAATTTTTGTTTTCAGAGTTCTGGAAGTCTTACTTGAAAAAGGGGTTACGATAAGGGTGGCCCCAATTTTCTGGACCTGGCGCGGAGATGCGGTGTGATTGTCGGCCATGAAGTGTCGAGCCTCTTCCAAGGTGTGGATTATCAGTGCCAACAACGAGAGAGACTTCCCCAGTCCCATCTCGTCTGCCAGCAAGCCCCCTACGCACTCGTTGACTGGGGCATGCTTTTTCTCCCGAGTCAACTCGTGGACATACCTATCGATCATTAGAACTTCAATCTATCTCGTGTATCACTAGCTTGATACTTGCTTTGGTTCGAGGCTGGTCCAATCCCGCTTCCACATTGTTGAGAGGAGATGTTTCTCCTCTGTGGCCTCGCGACGCAGCATAAAATCCAGTGCTTCGATTTGATGACTGTAAAGGAGTTAGAACTGAAGGGTCGATCCAGTGGGGTTCTCACGGCTGCAAGGTTGTCTTGATTCTCGAGTCTTGTTCAAAGACCGACTGCAGACCACCGTGATGCGTCTCACACAGTATGTTTTTGATTTCTTGGTCGAAATGGTGGGTATCATCTGACTGCTGTATGAAGAACGGGGTGAGTTGTTCCTCTGTTCTAGAATATACATGAGGATTGGAGTAGGGGATAGATGGATGCAGCACACTGGGCTCCTGTAAGAAAATATGTGCATCCCCAAGACAGATTCCGACTCGCTCTCCGTAGGATGCTGGACCGAAGAGGTTTATCTCGCAGGATAGGACCATATGGGCCTGCTTCTTAGAGACATTTCTGATTATTTCGTCGTCGAGGGAGAGGTATACTTCACACTTCAAGCTTGGACACTGTGCCTTCACCTTTTTGATGACCGCCGCGTGTTGCTGGTCCAATTGTGCCACCTCCTGGGCATCGCTGTCGCAAATGGTGATGCCATCGGATCGAATTCGGATCGGAGAAGCCGTCCGTCTCTTGAGGAATTGGGTAGATGACCGTTGGGAAGAAGGGAAGAGTTTTGCGAAAGCATTGGTTATCTAGGCAATGAGCAGAGAACTGCAATCATGTCGATGGATTTCTCACCAGTCCATAGCAAACGGTAGTCGCTTCATCCGCCTTAGCCAAAGGTTCTGTCTCTTCGGTGCTCCGAGAAGTGGAGAAAGTGTCAGAGTCGATTGCAGGGCTCGAAGGCGTCTCGTCAAGGGTTTCAGGGTCGGCCCGGTGAGATTCGTCTGAGGATTCCAAAGAATGCTCTCGACTTTCGTAGAGGTCAACATGGCAATTTTCAGCCAATTGGTCTTTGAGGCAGGGTTCGGAAAATGTCTCTTGTGGGATCTCGAGGTCGTCGTGGTCTTTGGTGTCTGTCGTTCCGTTCAACTGCGCAGTTGACCAGAGGTTGATGTCAGGCCGCCGAACCAGATCCGGGCAAGTGTCGACACCCCCCAACGCAGTCGTCCACGATCTTTTCTTTGTGAGCTCCATGCTTTGTGTTTCAATTTCACTGTGCAAGATGTTGATGTTCTTGTGTCATTAAATAATCCCGATGGCCTTCACTGGGGAGAGACTTGGGCAACCACACCTGCGACCTTGATCGCAAATCTGCCTCGCCTGCAAGGCACCCTTGACAACCTGCAGGATGAGGCTGATCAGGCGCATCTAGCGAACTGCCACGTTGCGCTGGTGGCGATGCCCCTCGCTCTTGTTTTCTCTGATGTGGCAGCCTGCCATCCACCTTGTTCCTCCCTTGCTCACTTTCACCCATCGTTCCAAGGTCACAACAAGGTGATGCAGCAGATCGGTCAAGATGGCGACTGTGACACACGCAGATCCTGCGAGCTCCATGGCTCTTGTATCGTCTCTGTTCGCTGACGCTAGTATGGACTTCAAGAGCAAGGTCCCGGACCACCTTGTTCCAACCTTTGACGAGATCAGAACTCTTCAAGATCTGGAATGTGCTATTCGAGACATTGAGGCAAGTCAAGGAGGCAGAAGATCACTCCGCTATTTGAGCAAGATCATGCCATATCTCAAAGCCTTGGATGAATACTCGAAGGTTATCGAAGTGTTTGTCAATGCAAAGCCTGAAATCATGGCCTTTGTCTGGGGGCCCATCAAGCTGTGCTTGCTGGTAAAGTGTCCTCCTCATCCTACAGCGGGACTTCAACTGATGACCTGGACCAGATCGCCTCAAAGCATGAGAAGGCATTTAATTCTCTCCTTTCAGCCTATGTCAAGATCAAAGACGCTCTGCCCCATTTCTCTGCTGTCGAACAATTGTTCGAGAACAACCTGCAGATGAGACACGTTCTAGTCAACCTCTACAAAGACATTCTTGCCTTTCACCTGCGGGTCCTCACTTTCTTCTCCAGACCTGGTAGGTGCCTCATGCTGTTTCCCTCGGCAGATTTCGCAGGCTCATGAGTTAGGCTGGAGCATAGCGTTCCGCGTTACGTGTAGAACGTTTGATGATATGTTTGGTGATATTGTCACCAATCTCGAGCGTTCAAAAGAGCTTTTCTACTCTTCAGCAAGCATTGCGCATTACCAAGCTGCCCAGGAAGCACGGCAACAGATCGAGGTCATATTCAAAACACAACAAGAGACAGCTCGAATAGAGAAAAGAACCTACGTGCATGGATGGCTCAGTCCTCCTGAGCATTGCGAACGGCACGAACAGCTCTGTGAACTCCGGTCAGAATATCCACAAACAGCACAGTGGATTTTTGAAGAGCCATATTGGAAAAACTGGCTCAACAACGAAGAGCAAAGTGGTAGGATCTTATGGGTGTCGGGAATCCCAGGAGCGGGTATAACACTGCCCTGTCATTTACCTCTGCATCGCTTTGCTGACTGCAACAGGCAAGACTGTGATATTTAGTGCCATGGTCGAATCTCTGATCCTCCGATCCAAGTCGAACTCATCGTGTGCGGTCGCTTACGTTTACTGCAAGTACAATGACCGCCAAAGAAATAGTTTTGCCGAGTTGGCTCGATCTTTGATTCATCAGCTCGCTGGCATGAATGAAATCTGTGGAGAATATTTGTACGATACTGCCACAAATAGTATGGAGAGCAAGGCCCGTGGGAAGCAAGTGCTCACGACGATAACTCAAGATGTCCTCCAGTGCTACGAGGAGGTGTTCATTGGAATCGATGGACTCGATGAGTGTGAGAAGGACCAACGAAGGCAAGTTCTTGACTTTCTCAAAGGACTGTTCAAGCTCTCTCTGCCGGATTGCAGTCTTCGTTTGTTCTTAACAAGCCAAGGAGAGCGTGATATTGAGAAATTCATGGCTTTGGCCCGCTACCATGTGAAGATTGGACCACTTCATCTGTCGAGGGATATTCTCTGCTACGTAAACAGGCGAAGTGTAGAGCTGGCCAGGTTCAACTTGACAAGCCAACAGATGGGTGATCTGAACAGGGATGTTTCCGCAAGGTGTTCAGGTGAGTCAACAGCATTTACTTGTCCTTGACCCAGAAATGACTTTGAGAAGGCATGTTTCTTCTGGCGAGACTCATCTTTGATTTGTTTAAGCGCTGTGTGACTCGCGCAGACTTCGATGATGAGTACACCGGGAAAGGTCTTCCGAGTGGTATTGACGAGGCGTAAGCATACTACTCCGAGGTTCAAATGGTAAGGTATGCACTAATGTCCTTGTTCAAGCTATGGTCGGATACTGTCCCAGGTCAGGAAAAGAGAGATCGAATCCGGCCGAGCCAGGGCAAAGCCAGTCTTGGAAATCCTCAGCTGCGCGCAACGGAAGCTTTACGTCCACGAGCTACAGGGCATGCTTTCGATGGATACGACTAATCGCCAGATCGATTTCAGCCGTGGAAGGTATACCCAGCACTTCAAAGAGATATGTGGACCGCTCGTGGAGCTAAACTTGGATGGAACCGTCGATTTTGCACATCAAACAGTCAAAGAGTAAGGCTCGATTCCTTCATGATAGACCCAGCACTCATTTCTGCAGCTATCTTGATCAGTATCACTCGGAGTATGTCAACCTTGGATCTGCCGCCTTCCACTCTGCTGGCATACTCACATCCTACCTTTCACTCGATTGCTTCGCTTCTACTTCTACATCTCAAGACGAAAAGGTGATTGAAGCGGCCAAAAAAGGATGCTTCTCTTTCTACAAATATGCCGTTTTATATTGGCTACGTCATATACAATGCCTAGGGGAAAACACTGTCCCAGAAGCTCGAAGAAATATGAGTCTACGCAGGGACGTCCAGGCCTCATACCGAAATTTGATTTCCTTCTCTGAGGTGGCTCATGACGATCAAGATGACATGCAGCTCGACGGGGGCGCCGACTTTACACTGTTACTTGAACAAACAGATTCCTTGTACGAGGGGCTTTTGCAAAACCACGGTATAACCTAGCCGTCTGCCAGTTAGGATTGCATAATGACCAGTGTTACAGAGGAGGACTCACCAGTCGTGCGACAAATATCTCGCATTCAGCGGGCTATGGAGGCCGTCATCTCTACCGAAACGGACAGTGACAAGAAGGGACTCCTCAAAGACGCTTATGGCCCCCGGCCCTACCACTGTCCAGTCCTCTCGTGTTTACGATTTCATGACGGTTTCTCAACCCCGGAGGAGAGAGAGAATCACCACCGAACCCATGAAAGGCCGTTTCGGTGCTCCTTCCAAGATTGCAGCTTCCATTCCGTTGGATTTCCGACCCAGAGGATCCTTGACGCGCATGTTGACGCATTCCATGAGGCAAGTATAGTACCACAGTTTTTGAACATGAAAACCTGCTCGATTTGGGTTTCTTTGCAGAATATTGTCAAAACTGATGACGAAACGTTAGTCGGTGACATGTGCGTCGAAGCTGCAAAGCATCCAGAAAAACCACCAGGGCTGATTGCCCATGCCATTGAGAAGGGTCACTTTAATTCGGCACGCGCCTTGCTTCAACATTTCCATGGCCTCGACGACATAGTTTCTGAAAAAGTTGGACAAGGGAAACTCATCGACACACTAGCAGGGGCTGGCGAACTAGGCTTGATGCGACAGATTCTCGCCCTCTGCCCTTCGCTGCAATGGACGGCGTTCGATTATTGGGCCGCCTGTTTTGCGGCCATTAGTAACGGCCGCAAGAATATGGTCTCATTCTTGCTTGATCAAGCATACCACCAGGATTCTAACCCTCCCCCGAGAGTACCTCGTGAGCTCATTCGCAGAGCAGCACGAGCTGGTTATGGAGATCAGCTGTCGGTAGTTCTCGATAAAGTCGGCCATCTCTGTCCGCATAATGCCTTTGCTACTTGCTGTCTATTCATAGCTGGCGAAGGCAACGCAGCGGCTCTGAAACCAGTCTTGACCACCTTCTTGAGTGCTTGTGGCCCCCAAGCCAAGAAGCATAAGCGGTTCAAGCACCTGTACGAGCTACCTATCGGCGATGCGGTGACGAGGCTGATCGAAGAAACGGTGAGATATTCGCAGGGCAAAGAGGGCGGGAGCTTCAACTCTGCATTCCAGCGTGCAGCACTCCGTGGAGACGTTGACCAGCTGACAAGGATGCTGGATTTGGGGATTGATATCAACTGTATCAGCGGGCAATATGGCACCGCGCTGCAGGCTGCATCCAAAAAGGGCCATGTCCATGTAGTCCGCCTCTTACTCGACCGTGGTGCTCAGGTTGGGATCGTGGGTGGCGAATATGGCCACGCTGTTGCCGCCGCTACCGCTTCAGGCCAGCTGGAAATATTGGAAATCTTGCTTGCAGCTGGCGCAGATGTATCACAAGAGGCTCAGGCGAACTCCCAGAAGGGGGTTCGGAAGACCCAGCTCTCTCTTGTATCCGGTCCTAAAGCAGCGCCTCCTCTGCATTTCGCCGCAAGTGAAATGCAGGAGGGAACATTGCGAGCGCTGATCGAGGCCGGAGCCGACGTGAGGGCGGTCGACAGCAACGGCGACACTGCCTTGCATGTATGTGTTCTAGGCCCATGCCCCTACAACAATTCTGGGTTGAAGATAACTTTCTGGCATTTACCTGATGTCGCAGGGAGAATCCGGCATTCAAGCTACACAATTGCGAAGCTACTTTTAGAACGGGGCGTTCTGGCCACGGCGCAGAACAAGGCCGGCAACTCTCCCCTACATTTGCTCTTTAGAGCCGGGCAGCTTAAGTCTCTTAACACGGCGCATCTGCTGCACCACCCCTGTGCTGTGCAAATGGCAAAGATGTTATTCGAGGCTGGCGCAAGCTTTGATCAACTGAACAATGACAACGAAAGCGCAAGGGACGCAGCCATCCAGATGGGTGGGCAAACTCTGCAGGACCTGAAACGTGAAATTCCAAGTGCGTGGGAAGGGCATAACCGCTCCGACCCCGACTGTGAGATGCGTGGGCACTTTGAGCCTCGCGAGGATGTGTCACAGTTTCCGTCCCCTGGACTGGGACTGGAGCCTTCGGCATCTCAGAGCCCTGGCAGTCCGTTCGAAACGGAGCCCTCATACGCCCCTCTGGAAGTAGAGCAGCGGCCAACGACTCCCACTGACGATCCATTTATCCTGTCTGCCCTTGTGACCGATTACCAATATACGCCTGGAGATGGAACATACAGCGCGGCTGACGGGATAAATGCGCCCGGTGTCGACGAAGCAGATCGGTCGAGCAACTGTCTCCACGACCCGGATTCTGAGCTGTTTAGGAACCCCTGGCGACACGCTTGAGACGAGCGCTAGAAGAACTAGACTATGTGGGAGACCGAGTATCATAGAAACATAAGGAGAGGCACGCGAATTATAATATACAACAAAGACTAACAGGAGCACTACCCGCGCAGGCTCCTTGCTTTCGAGGTCACAGAGACTCACTTCCTTGTTCCAAGAGGACAATAATGGCACTAGCTGTATCTATCGCACACGAAATACCAGAGCGTTCAAACCTTCTCATCTCCCACATCTATCAAGTCGACTTGGCCTGCGCCTTGGCCATGCTTCTCGTGACGCGCCTCGCCGGGCCATCCTGGGACTGTGCAGCGCCTTTCTTGACGGGGACCGCTTTCTTCTCGGACGTCTTCTTCTTCTTCTTGGTAACCTTTGCTGCGCTGGCGATGGCGGTCGAGGCGGTCGTAATCTTGGGCTCGGTATTCTTCTTGGTAGCCTTGGCCTTGGCCTTTGGCTTAGCTTTTGTCGTTTTCTTCGGGCCGCTTCGTCGTTGGGTCCTGGTTGTTGTTGTGCTGCAACAACAGGAGTAGTAGAGGTGGCGGTTTTGTCGGTGTCAGCCTTGTCCTTCAGATCCTGCTTCTGCTTCTCCTCCGTCTCCGGCTTCTCCTGCGTCTCCTCGTCCGGCTCCTTCTTCACCTCCACCTCCCCCTCGACGGTCTTCCCTGGGCCAGCTCCATGGGTGGATGTCGTCCCTTTTGGCTTGTTTGGGACCTTCCTCGGAGGAGGAAGAGGGGCGACCTCGTCCTCAGACCAGTACGGGGAATGCTCCGCAGGCATGACATCGGGAATGCTGACAGCCGGCGGCGGCAGGGGTTCATTTTCCTTCTCCGGCTTGGTAGGACTCGTCGCCGTCTTCTTCTGCTTCTCCTTCTTGTCCGTCTTTCTTTTCTTCTTTTCCTCCTCCTCGTTCGCCACCACCTCCTTCTTCTTCTTCTTCTTCGTCACCTTCGTCGGTTTTCCCAAACTCTTCGCCTTCTTCGAGGTATCGGCAGCCTTTGTCTTCGTCGACCCCGAAGCTTTTGCGCCAGGCGCTGGAGTCGGACTCACGTACGCCGGGCCCAGCGCGTCCTTGATGGCCTGCTTGAGCGCGCGCTTCGTCTTGTACTTTGGCGACACGATGGGTGGAGCGCCGCCCGCGGCGAATTCGTCTGCCGTGGCGGCGGCGGCGACCTGGGCCCGACTCCTCGTCCTTCTAGAGGTCACTATCGGGTCCGAGTCCGGAGTGCTCAATCGTCGCGCCCTGGATGGTTGTGCGTGCGACGACGACGGCGGCGGTGGCGCTGCAGTGGCTGGGATGGGACCTTTGGACTTGCCCTTGCCGGTCTTGGACACTCCGGCTGCCTCGCTGGCTTTGCCTCGGGGGCTAGGAGGGGGAGATTTCTACATGGACCCCTTGAGTCAGCGGCCAAATCGACAGTGGTATGCCAACATCCCTCCAGAAGACAGAGGGGAGGGAAGGGTGGAGGGAGGGATCATCCATTCCGAGGCCAGCGAGATTTCGCTATTCGACTTACATTCGATGTCATCTTTCTGCAATTCTATCGTTCTCTTGCGCTTGATTCTTCCCTGTCTGTCAGGCAACTCAACCAAGCTGTATATCTCCTGCGGTGCGAGTAAAAAAATGGGAAACGAGATAGGAGAATCCAGACACAGAGGACGAGGAAGGGAAGCCCATGACCCGAATTTTGAACGGAAAAAGGGCATGCATGCATGATTGCTCGCCTGCTCTCTTGTTCGTGGCAATTCTTTCTTTCTCTCTTTCTTTCTTGGTCGCATTTGGGTGCCTCATGGACAACAAAGGGAAAATGACCAGCTGGAAAACCCAAGAGAGCACGCCAGCCAAGTTTTGTCAAGTCCGCGCGCGCGAATGCATCCGGCGCAGAAAATAAGAGACCAAGAAACAAAGCCATCGACTTTCGCTGAAAACGGCCCTGGCGCCAGCAGCAAAGCACTTAGCGAGGATTGCCGCTGGCTTTGTCTTGGATGAGAGCGCATGCAGTGCAGCTGAGATCGCGAGTCAGTGCCAGCCAGGTAAGTAGAGAGAATGAGGGATCACAAAAAGAAAAGGCTGTGTGTGCACAGGTATCGAGCAAAAGTTGAGTTCGGGGCAATGGACAGGTTCTGGGGAATGTGGAATGAAACGAGGGGAATTCCTCTGGATTCCTCGCCAGCAGTCCCTTTATATCCAGGGCAGACAAGCAGTAACACCATCGCTGGGTAGCCCCTGGATCGCATCGCCTTCTCCAAATCCATCATCTTTCCAAAATTTGGCGGGTAGATCAATCCACTATAGTAACAATCATGTAATTATGTATCTTTTTGTTTCTTTCGTCAGACTGCGTTCAGTTCGTCAAATGCCGTCGTGTAAATCCCGTACGAAGGACGGCGCTAACATTTTTGGATATATTCACTCAAAAATGTCCCTTGGGATTCCCTTGGGATTCCCCGGGAGGCGTAAAAGTTGTTGTCATGTGTACATCGAGGTCATATTCAACCGCCTAGCCCAGCACCGTCAACGTTTCTCAGCTTCGCAGCCAATGTGGTGTCGTAGAAGTTGTAGTATGGGTCGGGGATACAAAAGGTAGAATGTCGAAGCAGGGTGTCGGCTGTCGGTCGATCGGTCGGGTTGCTGTTTATCCATTAGTACACGATAAATCCATGGCCAGCGGTCAAGACTTACACTTGGAAGCAGTCATACATGAAGTTCAGCCCGTCAACCGAAGCTGTCGACTGTACGTCTTCAGGAATAGGCGGTGCTTGGCTGAGACTTCCCAGCTTGAAGATGGCACCAATGGCTTCTTCTCGGCTCCATGGTCGCTTTCCCGCAAACATTTCCAAAACCACACAACCAAGCGACCAGATATCGACTTTGGCACTATAACCCTGGCCGTGGGATCGGATCACTTCAGGGGCCATCCAGAACACCGAGCCTTGCATACTGTTGGTAACGTCGTTGCCGTAGATGTTGTCAGACTTTTTAGAGATGCCAAAATCCGAGATCTTGCATGTGCCATCAAGGTCGAGGAGGATGTTGTCAGCTTTCAAATCACGGTGCAGAATGCCTTCTTGGTGGAGGTATGCCAGTCCTTCCAGGGTTTGTCGCGTAAGTGATCGCACCACAGACTCCTCAAACTTTCCATGCTTGCGCAGACAGCTGCCGATGGAGCCACCAGGAATGTACTCGAGATAGATACTGATAGAGAACTGACTCCGTTCGCAAGCAAGGTATTGCACAATGTTAGGATGCTCAAGATGCTGCATAGTGTCGATCTCTTGGTCCAGAGCGGCAACCATTTCTTTGATGCGATCTTTGTCTTGACCCGCAGCTTTCTGATTGACCTCGACCTGTTTGACGGCCAGGAACTCACCGGTTGTCGCATTCATGCCGAGGTACACACGTCCATAGGTGCCCTTGCCGATAAGTTGACCGCGAATGATTTTGAAGGTTGCCTGCCGCTTGGGCGTCTCGTCCGTGGGAACTTCTTCTTGGGGAATAGGATCAAGCGTGGACAATCGACTGCCTGGTTTTGGTCTGATCTGCACGATATGCGCACCAAACATCTTCGTAGACTTCCGGCGAACAATGCTGCTTGCATTATTCTGTTCCACGCGAGCAGCAACCGAAGGGCCTCGCTTGATGTCGTTGCGCTTCTGAGCGACCTCACGAATAGACTTCATCCTAGAAATGCCTCCTGTCGCTTTGCCAACTTGCCTCTGTGCAACACTTGCAACCTTATCACGATCCTTTGCCTTGAGAGTGGACTCGTCAGACCCCAGAGTATCCGATTCGCTCTTACGGCTGAACTCAAGATCCAGTCCAGCGGTGCCAAAGGTCACACTGGTGGAAGGTCCCTGGAGGGCGTCAAGAGGATCCTGATCCGTCGTCCTCATGGGTGAGTTGTTGTCGCCTTTCTCTTCTAGGTACGGCTTATCGAGATCAACGCCTGGGAAGAATTCGTCGAGATGATGAACGACATTTTCCACCGCCGGTCGATTCGCCCAGATGTCACTGATGAAGGAATCTCTCCTATTCATTCGGTCATCTGGTGACTGGGCAGATCCACTGAAGCTGCCGTCGGAGAGACTGCGGTCGTAGCCCTCTCCACTGGCCGTGGCGCTATCGTCGCCAGTGTTTTGCATGCCACTGGATGAGCTTGGCGACTTGAACCGTACGTTCTTGCTGATATTTTGGTCCGTATCCACCGTCAATGTAGGTCTCTGATCTTTACTGCGTAACGGCATATCGTCCTTAGACAAGGACTTATTTGTCAGGGGGATTGCGAACAGCCCATCATCCGAGTCATCGTCCGAATCATCCTTGAGCGGATGGGGCGAAGGAGCAAAGGAAACGTTGGTCTCTTTGAATTCAAGATCGGGTCCGTACGACTTTCGGGTTTGCAGGAATGGCCGTGGTGCCGCCTCAGTCGAGGGACTGACCGCCGGTGAAGGACCAAAGCGCCGAGCACTCTCCAAAGCAGCATTCCGCGCCCGGCTCTCTTGGTTGGTATCGGCGAAACCTTCTTCATAGTTAGGAACTTTGAACAGCATATCACCTTTGCCCCGTGTAAAGTCGGGACGAAAGGACCCACCTGAATTACTGCGACTGAATTCAACACCCCTTCTATCCTGTTGCGGCCCTTGGCTGCCCAAAGTGGCTGGAGCGCCAGCCATCTTGCCAACATTGGCCAACGCGGCACCAATGCCACCAGAAGGAAGGGCCACGAAAGCAGCTTTCTTCTTTGCACGCTCTGCGTCCTCTTCAGCAATGGGATCAGAGATTCGCTTCAAGGCATCGAGGGACGATCGATTGCCAGATCCTTTGGCCCGAAGAGAATTGACCTTGGTCAGCGTGGTGGATTCCGCAGGTGCTGTGGGTGGCCGTCGGACTGGCACAAGATTTTCGACCTTCTTCTCTTCGAACGGTGAGAGGCGGGGACTGTCAAAGTCTATGACCGTGCTTCCTCGAATTCCGCCGCCACTGTATGTGGAAGTCGACTCCTTTTGAGCTCGACGAGATTCCAGGTACGCCCTTTGTTTAGCCTCCGTCTGTCGTCGATATTCTTCAGCCTGCTTTTGCATGAGAGCAGGGTCAGTGACCAGCGATTCGGCTACTGGAGATGTATACCCATTGCGACTGATGCCACCAGACGAGTTTGATTTGACCATGGGTGGAGCTCTTTCGACCTGGCCCTTTTGGCCAAAAGAAACCCCGAGACCAGCTGACTGAGTCGCCGAGCCAGGAACTGCGGAAAGTGTAGGACTCTGGACGTACAGCTTGAAGCTGCCTAGGTTATCTGTCCGGTTCCGTATGGCGACAAGCATACCGTCCGAGAGTGCCGTTTCGTGCTCTGTTTGACCGGGCTCGGTGATAAAAATCTGTGCATATTCGGCGTCTGGTATCCCAAGCTCGATACAGATGAGACTGCGAAGGGCGATGGCCGTCTCCACTTCCGTAACGTCCACAAGCCGGTAGTTCCAACCGTCTGGCGTCACAAAAATGTATCTTCTTGATACATTGGGTCCTCGACGACCGGCTATCAGTGCCTTCTCATCTTCACTCGTGACAGAAGCGGGGCGTTGGAATAGTGCCGAGTCGCTACCATTCGCGCTTGGTCTTGCAAATAGCTTTAATGGACCAGGGCTTGTCGGTGACTCCAAAGGATGTTCATCTGATTGGGGCTGATTGTGCTCATGCCTCTTCCTCATAAACTTACTGAGAAAGCCTTTGCTGTGATCTTTGCCTCCCGGACCCGGGGCATAGTCATTGCTCCAAGTCCTGTGAGATTCTAGGGGTGAAGGTCTGGTCATCTCTTGTGCGTCACGCCTATCTGCATAAAAGCGTTCTGAGCCTCCAGACGACGTGTTGCTCCTCTCATAGGGACCTTGCATGTTGACATTCGAGCGAGAGTGGCTTGATGCTTTGAGCATAGAATCGGTGCTGTTGCTCTTGCTATGATCTGGTCGCTGTGTCTGAGAAGAGGTACTTGTAGCCGAAACAGGGATTGCACTTCCAAGACCCGGGCTGGCACTGGGAGAGGCATCAAACGTCTTGGGCAACAGATTCGTGGAACCATCGCCCGAAAGATTGGGGCTATGTCGTCATCGACTGTTCATGCTGGTCAGAACGCCCCTTGTGTAATCTGTGCGCCCGGCGCCTGGAAAATTGTCTGCTGGCCGTGGGTCGCTTGGGGTTGAGGAAGCGCTACTATGTTTGCTGAGAACAGGCATGGTACTACTTCGACCCTGTGAATTTCGAGGCCCTAATCCTGTCGGGAATTGCGGAGGCATCTGCTTGCCAGGGCTTCCTTCTGGACCAGCCGTTCCAGGCGCGCTACCAAATTCAGATCGGGGAAGATGAGGCGAAGTTTCCAGATTTCCCTCCGTTGACGCACTCGGAATCATACCAGACTCTCGCCTCCGATGACCAGTGCCTGCGCTGGCTGGACCCTCACCTCCCTGTTCGACGAGGCGAGAGATTAGCTTCCGTAATCTCTTGCCCTCTTCCCGCTCGCGAGCCTGGTCCCAACCAGTATTGCCGCTCGAACAGACCTTTGCGAGCTGTGGGTAAATGGTCTGATGCATCATGCCTAAATTCCCACGGCCATTTGGTCCCCGGCCAAGGTCGAGAAAGTCGGAGCCTTGCAGCTTCAACAACCTAAAGGTCTCCTGCCAATCATTTGAGAATCCATTCGCAGCCAGCCAAGCAAGGACACGATCCAAGGGCCACTGTGAAGACAACTCGGCCGAGTTGCTTCCCGTGACGGCAGCACTGTGCGCTCGCTGTCGACCCTGGTCGGTGCTTGATTGCTGATTGACCAAGGTTGCGGTTGGGGGTCCTGGAGAGATGGGTTCGTTGATCTCGCGAAGGGGTAAAGTGAAAGCGGCCCTATTTGAAGAAGCGGAGGCTGCCCGATTTTCTCTATTGGCAATATCCGGATTCGGATGTATCGGATTGGGATATGAGTAGCTATGTGAATTAGTGGAAGTGTCAGAATATTTCTGATCTGAGTGAGACAATGAAGGCTCGGAAGTGAATTGGGCATCATATCGCGAGTATGAAGAGTAATCGTCGAGGGGTGGAATGCCGACGCCGGGCCCAAACGAATCCCCAGTGGGAATAAATGTGGCGGACAGGATGGGCTTGTCATTCTGCGGAGGCGGCGGCGGAATATTCAGCTGTCGCATACCGTAGGATAGGTGTTGTCCCTGTCCCTGGGTATGATTTGTTGGCGGAGGAGGTGGTATATTCTGGCCCAAGCCTGATCTTCCCCATGGCTGCTGCCATCCTGCGCCTGGCAGCCCGAAAACTGTCCCAAGGGGTAGGGCGGAGGGATGTGGTCCCGGTGGAGGGGGAGGAAGATTCGATTGAAGATACGGTCGCGGAGGAGGCGGTGGAAGATGGCCTAGAGTGCCTTGTCCCGGGGGCGGGGGAGGCCCAGGTATATATTGTTGTTGTCTCTGGTTATCCATTATCTGGCCGTTGGAGACCATCCTTCAAAGGTCGGTCGACTGCTTAGAGGTGAAGCAAGCACCAAGTATGACTCGACCCCAACAAAGCCAGGTGGCTATGTTTGCAGTCGGATAGACGAGAGTTTTATTGCCTGTAATTCCAGTTTTCCTAGCTTTTTTCGGGACCTCGACTCTCACGGTCGCAAGTCTGACACAGCTCCTCAATGGACTCTATCCACGGCACTTTTCGGCTTCGAGTCGAGCAGAGCGACGAGGCGCACGCCTGGACAAAGCGCAATGTCACAGACACATGATAGACGGAGTGAGCTCGCTAGCAGACGGACTAGTGAACAGATAAAAAGGCGAGGGAGCGGCGTCGACGACTGATACAAAGTAAAGCAAATGGTTGGTGTTTGTAGAACTGAGGGAAGGGCGGAGACTCCCACGTGCAGTTGGTGACAGCGACGGGCGACGTGCGCTGATATATCCGCAGAAGGTGCCGTCGGCGTCTTAACTATGGGTGAGAGTGGTGTAAGCGGAACAGGATGTCGACGACAGTGAGAATTGAGAAGGTCGCAGTCCGAGCGCAGTTGAACTGGGGTATGGGATGAGTGGCTGATGAGCGGCAACCTGTGATTTGGGGCCGAAGGAACAGAGAAGGCTGACCTGGGCAAGCCTACAAAGCCGGAAGAGGCTAGATTGGGGCTAATGAGGCTGTCGGCTGGTATGCCCAATGGAGGTGGCGGAATAAGCGCGTACCTGGAGGGAAAAGGCCTCGAGGGCATCGGAGCCCAACTACTGGCTCCCGCCCCAAAACGATGAACAAATACCTGTGCACTGGGCGCTGGCTAGTGGGGGTAACCTTGATAGGGACCTCTTTACCTAGAGTTACCCACCTGGGCATGGTTGGCGTGCCCAAGGGCCTCGGCGTGCTAGGTAGGCACTGTACTTGTTTGGTTTGGAGGTACGAGTAAGCTTTGCTCCCAGATAACCCAGCTGCCAGCAATATTTATACGCAGTGCCACGTTTCTCCCCAGCAGGTTGCACAACAGCCCTGGCGGCCGTGGCAGCTTAGAATGCCTCACATAAGGATGCACCAGATGCTTCGTTCGAATTATCACAAGCTTTTGCTCCGGCGTGGTGGGCTGATGTTGCGCGTCACATCATACCACACTTGCATCACAAAGCATCATGATCCCAGCTTTTTCCCTGTTACATCTGCTTCTCGTTGACCGTAAAGTTCATCTCAACATTCTTGCCGGCCTTCCGCTGCAGACCTCAATGCTTATCATGCCCGATGCGATCGGAGCATCTCGTGAATTTCTTATAAAATCTACCTCATCCCCAGCTCTCTGGACGTAGTTTTCTGTCCACCGTCTCTCAATTGATTTTTCTTCTTCTTCTCCGTGTCCCTCCTCTTGTAGTGTGCTCGTCCTCAATCATGGCCGATCTGACCGAAATGCTGAGAGAGCCCGTGGATGTCGCTACTTATCTCTTCACTAGGCTGAAGCAGATGGGCATCGACTCTGTCCATGGACTTCCGGGTGATTTTAATCTGGTGGCTCTGGATTATCTCGAGGGCTGCGGTCTTCAATGGGTGGGAAACTGCAATGAGCTCAACGCAGGCTACGCCGCCGATGGCTATGCTCGAGTGAAAGGGATATCAGCTATTATCACCACCTTTGGAGTGGGGGAGCTGTCTCTGCTCAATGCAACCGCGGGAAGGCGAGTCACGTGGTCTCGGAATGGCTGTCTCTGATACAACTCACTAACTTGTTCATTCCAGCTTTGCCGAGTTTGTGCCAGTGGTGCATATCGTCGGGACACCTAGTACCATATCTCAGAAAAATGGCATGCTTCTGCATCATACCCTGGGCAATGGTAACTTCAATGTTTTCGCCGAGATGGCCGCCCATGTGGCAGTCAACGTCGCCAAATTGAAGGACCCTCGCGATATTGCCTCACAAATCGACAATGCGTTGCGCGAGTGCTACCTTCTCAGTCGGCCCGTTTACCTGACGCTCCCGACAGACATGGTCAAACGGAAGGTTGAGGGCCAAAGACTCAAGACCCAACTGGACCTGAGCCCGCACAAGAATGACCCCGAAAAGGAAGAGTACGTGGTCGATGTGATTCTGAAGTATCTCACCGCGGCCAAGAACCCCGTCATTCTGGTCGACAGCTGCGCCATTCGTCACCGCGTGCTGCCCGAGACCCACGAGCTGGTCGAGAAATCGGGTCTGCCGGTGTTCGTGGCGCCCATGGGTAAAGGAGCCGTCGATGAAACCTTGCCTAATTTCGGCGGTATCTATGCAGGAGCTGCGTCCAACCCTGGAGTCCAGGAGCGTGTTGAAGGGGCAGACTTGCTCCTGTCCATCGGCAGCGTCAAGTCCGACTTCAACACGGCCGGATTCTCCTACCGAACCTCGCAACTGAAAACCATCGACTTTCACAGTACGTACATGCGAGTGCGGTGGTCAGAGTACCCCGGGGTTGGCATGAAAGGCGTCCTCCGCAGACTCATCGACCGACTACCCAAGCTCGATGTTCAGCCTGGACCTACATTACAACAGAAACAGATCCCTGAAGATGAAAATCCCAACGACACTGCCATCACGCACCGTTGGTTCTGGCCGCGGCTGGGACAGTGGCTGCGTGACGGTGACATTGTGCTCACCGAGACTGGAACGTCCAACTATGGCATATTTGATACTCGATTCCCTCCAAATGTGACGAACATCAGCCAGATTCTATGGGGAAGTATTGGATATGCAACCGGCGCCTGTCAGGGTGTAGCATTGGCCGCCAAAGAGCTCGGTGGTAACCATCGGACAATTCTCTTCACTGGCGACGGTAGTTTCCAGCTTACATGCCAGGAAGTGAGCACGATGATCCGGCATAATCTCAACCCAATCATCTTCATTGTCTGCAACAACGGCTACACCATTGAACGCTTCATCCACGGTATGGAAGCCGGCTACAACGACATCCAGAATTGGAAATACAAGGATCTGGTCCCAGCCTTTGGAGCAGCAGAAGGCAGCTACAAAACATACCAAGTCAGGACCAAGGACGACATCCATGCCTTGTTTCAAGACGAAACTTTTTCAAAAGCTCCCTGTCTGCAGTTGGTCGAAATGTACATGCCGTGGGATGATTCGCCTGCAGGATGTAAGTCCTCTCTAACCATTCGTCCCCTTTCTCGCTTGGGAGAGAAGATGCTAACGAATATACCAGTGTCTGTGACGGCAGCTGCCAGTGCTCGGAATAATGCCAAAATGCTCGAGACTTCTTAGATGTTCAAAATAGACACGGTGGAAACGGACACGCAGAACAGGCTCGCGTAGGCTGGAATGGACGGTATATAGACAAGGCTGGTAATATCTATTATCGCTCTTCTGCTCTTCTGAGCCTATCGCGGCAGGCTGCAGCGATTATCAGGCAACATGACTGTTGCTTTTCTGCGTTTGTGGTGCCTGGAATGTTGAGCCCGAAGCTCGCCTAATGCTACCTGCGGGCTTTGTTGTAACTTTGTTGTAATCAAGCAGCCCCAGGCCTTGTGATTGGGTCGATAATTCAGACCCTGGCCAACTAGCGGATACACGGTCTCGAGGCTCAGTCACACACCCCCATGCAACACAGAACCGAGAAAGACGCAGAGAGACAGAGAGAGCGAGCGAGAGAGAGAAAGACACCTGAATCATTTCATCCTCTCCTACTGTTGACTGGCACGAGAAGACCGTCGGCGGTATCATATCCCGAATGTTTTGTTCTGCATCGGCATCTATGTGCTGTAGAGATGCTTCCATAATGTCCTCGACGCATAGCGGATGTCCTGGCTATCGGGCTACCTCCCATCAACAAACCCATCACGCTGTCAGGTGAGAGACTGTGTGTGTGTGTGTGTGTGTGTGTGTGTGTGTGTGTGTGTGTGTGTGTGTGTCGTGGTGACATGTCGACATG